CTCTTAAACTCCCCTTCGAAAAAAGTTACACGCGTGCGCGAAAATGGCAGGAGAGGAGAGGCTCGCGCTAGGACCCAGCGGCGGTTCTTCCCTACCCCCAGCTGTTCCGCCGCCTTCGTTCGCCCCCGCAGCCTTTTTGACCCTGCTGCGACGCCGTTGCCCGTTCCCTCTTTGGCTTCGCTGTGGCTACAAGGCTAAGGCTCTGCCGAGAGGGGCGCGCCTGGCATGCCAGGGGTAAAGATGGCGGTCCCCAAGTGGAAGCTGGCGGCAGGTCTGTGCTGGGGAAACCGGGGCAGGAGCGGGACGGGGACGTGGGGAGGCGCTTCCCGAACGAGACCCCCTTGCTGCCCCGGCGGGTGGGACTGTTTGCAGACTTTGCATGCGCGCCTCGGTGCATGCGTGCGCGAATGCCTGGAAGCGTCCTCGCCTCCTCCCGTCGGGTGCCTGCGGCGTTGCAACATTGGGGGGCGGTGGGGCGCGAGGCGCTGTCCCGTGCCGCCGAGCCGTGGGAAGCGTGCAGTTGTCTGGAATGCATTCTAGGGGTAGGCTGGCCCTGCGCATGGAGGCTCCATTGCAACCGTCGAGCAGCGAATGGCTCTTCGGAGGTGGCTGCTTTGGGAAGATCCCACGTTGCGGTCTCTCCTGCAAGGGGGGAGAAGTCAGCCGGGTGGGGTTTCTGGGGGCAGGCGGCTTTCGTCCTGCAGCAGCTTTGCAAAGAGACCTCCGCCTTTTCTCATGCACTGGAGGGGTAGAGCAGGGTTTCTCAACCTTGGCAACTTGGACTTCAGCTCCCAGAATTCCCCAGCCAGCTTGGCTGGCCGGGGAATTCTGGGAGTTGAAGTCCATGCATCTTAAAGGCTCCCTTCTCTGCTCCTGGGGACTTTCCTGCAGTGGCCCCCCATCTGCAAGGCCTCCCCCTTGGAGGGACCCACAGCTATTTCTTCCCCAGCCTCCAAACTGTAAAGACTTCTTTACCCAAGTTTGCACCTGGAGACTTTGCGGCTGCAGCCACTGCGCCCTCTTTGCTATTCAGCCCTTCCCTGGGAGACTTGCAAAATGCTCGGAGGCCGAAACGTCCCAACCCCACAGCGGACGGTTCTGCCCTCCGTGTCCCATTGAGAGAGGACCCTTTCCGGACTGGACCCCCTCCCAGAAGGTTGCAAGAGCCGGGCCAACCGGACGGCAGAAAGTTTTGAGCTGGGCACGTTTCGCTCTCCAAATGCTTGGCAAACCTCTTGGCTGTTTTTAGAGTCGGGGTACTGATTTCATATCTTGTAGCATTTTTAATTTGTTTTTTCATGATGGAGAAAGGGGGAAAAACACCTAGAAAGTGTTTTAAGGAAGAAGGGAGAGCAGTGCAACGAAGGAAAACAATAGGTCGTTATAACAGCAAACAAATAGGCACTTGAATAGTACTTGCACAAGATAACTAGATGTAGAATTGTAACCGTTTCCGGTTTCTAATTTCTAATCCATTTATAGGACTACCTTTTTTTTAACCTACTGTATTTTATATAAATAAGTCCCGTATATCATTATGCTTGTCCGTACAAAGTCTACCTCTACAGATGTTTGTCTGTTGTAGCATGTTGCAACCTCGTGAGTGTTTTCCGTGAAAAGTGAGATAGAAGTAGAGTGAGTAAATGAGTTTTGCTCCACAGGTTACCTGTGCCTATTTGTTTATTGCCTCCAAGGCAATTTTGGCTCCTGGCGGGTGCACGGCCGGCCACGCAGTTTCCTTGGTGGCATTCCTGGGGCCGGGAGGGAGGGAGGGAGTGGCCCAAGGTCACCCAGCTGGCTTCGTGCCCGTGGCTCAAATTTCCCCATTCCTCATCCAGCACCTTAACCACCAACCCAGAGTGGCTCTCTCTATCTGCATCTGCACAGATGTAACTCCCACTGAATCCACCTCGGTGGGTTCTTTGAATGCGCTCTCTGCTCTTTCCTTTGGTAAGTGGCCTTTTGGCATATTTAAAAGTAGGATTCCTCCAAATTCATCCTGGCTCTATTCAGTGGGGCTTACGCCCTGCTAAACGCATTCAGGATCACAGCCGGAAAAGCCACAAGCTGCTTTTGGGTGGTAAATGAGACCATTTTTATCCCTGCAGAGGTTGTGTGTGTGTCTGTGTGTTTAAGCCTTTCCAATTTTCAGGAGAAGGTGTCTTGTCTTAGCGCTGCAGAAGTGTCATAGAAGCCAGCACTGGGGCCACGGTTGCAAATGGAAGCAAAAAGAGACGGTTCAAAATAACTGATTTGGCTGGTATCGTACCCATTGTGTCTTCCAGTTGATCTGTTGGGGGGCTAGACATATATCTTTATCACAGCTTGTGCATTTCTGGAAAAGAACTCACTATAAAAAGTCATCTTGGATCTAGTAAGATTTCTACATAGTTTGTATGTCCCTTTAACCTTTTTAATTTAAATAGTGAGTGCATCCTTAATCTCAAAAAAGCACAAATTTGAACAGAATTGTGTCTAAACCGATTATATCACCCGGAGTGATTTTTACACGCTGGGGCCAAAATCTTTCATCACATGCTTGGTCCCTCATCGCTGTTGTCTCTGGACACTTCTTAGTTGCTCTGAATCCTTCCCAATTTCTGAAGCTTTTTTCTGGTTCATAACTGGGGGAAGTGGCTGGGGAAGAGGAGGAGGAGGAGGAGGAGGAGGAGGAGAAGAAATCTCTTTCTGCAATTGTGGGTTAAGCATCCGCCTTTTCCAGTGGGAAGCTCTTATTATCTGCTGTTTGAGCAAGGTCTCCTGCTGTGATCTTTTTTTTGGGGGGGGGAATGGAGAGATCCTTTTTCCTCTACAATTACACCATCTGGTGAAGCCTGTGCTATTTTACCCCTCTGCAACCTGCTTTCCTCCAGGCTCCTTCTGCCTTCCGTTTCCAACCACAATGGTGGAGTGGGAGTGGGCGAGGGGATAATGGGATGGCACCACCCTTGGGGACACAGAGACTGCATCTTTCGGCATGGATGGCGAAAGCTTTCCACTTGCATGATGATGATGATGATGATGATGATGATGATGATGATGGAAGAACAAAGTCCACCTTTTCTTCTAAATGCAATGCTCCACAAAGAGCTGAAAGGAGGGCCTGGACTCTGATTGTTGCAAACAGAGGACAACCTGGATTTTTGCTCCTGCTGTTGTGCCTCTTCCTTGCATAGATCTCTTTCCATGTTAAGATATGAATCATCTTCACCCCTTGTGCGAATGTACTGGGGTGCACCCGAAGAAGCCTCTCCTTCTCCGGCCTGAGGCCTTTGCCCAACAATTGCAATAGGACCAGCTGCCTTCCAATGTTACAGGACTCCCCCTGTGCTCATTTCATAATCATCTGCACCAGCGGCAAGTAATCAGGTGATATCCAGCTGTTTGGGACATAATCATGACCATCCACCGTGCTGGCTGGAGCCAATAGGAATCGTAATCTACGACATTTGGTTGTCTCCAGTGGTTGGGTGTTGACCAATCTTCTCATTTTTTTTTTTGTTTTTTGCTTCCCGAATTAAAAAGCTCCCTCCCCCATTATAATAATAATTTATTGAATTGATATGCCCCCACGACTCCCAGCATCTCTGGGCGGTTTACAGAGTGCTGGAAAACATTAAAACAAGAAAACAGCACAAAACTGAAAAGAGCAAAGATGGCAGAGATAACAAACCCAGATGGGGGGGAGGAGGAGGAAAAGAAGGAGGAGGAGGAGGGACAAGCACCTGCCACACAACACCCCAGACTTAACAACTGTTGATAAGAAAGACCAAAAAGTCTGGACAGTGGACATTGCAAGACCTGGAGAAAGCAGAAGAGAAGAGGAAGAACTGGAGAAAATCACAGGATACAAAGACCTGCAAATAGAAGTAGAATGACTGTGGCAAAAGAAAGCAAAGATAGTCCCAATGGTAATAGGCACCTTGGGTGCAATCCCAACACATCTGGAGCACCCCTTGAAGACCCTCAGCCTTGACAAAATCGCCATCAGTCCATTGCAAAAGGCAGCTTTACTTGGAACAGCTTCCATCCTGCGACAAGACCTTTCACACCATCCAACAACAACATCTGCCTATCCCAAATATCCCATATTTTTATCGGTAGGTGGATAAAAAAGCCAAATCCAGTCCAAACATCTGGCTGGCTGTGTGACCAACCCTAATAATAAACAAGATTTAGAGCAGCAGGAAACTTCAGAGACCAGATTTTTAACAGCCTGCATCATTATTTTGCTGCAGCGATTTTTCCAATAATCCTGGAAGCAATACGCTGCTTGTCACATCTGTCGATGAGTTGTGGCAGGTCCAGCAGGCGCACTCCTCGTGTCTTCCCACCTCCCTGCAGCGAGAGTCACTTGCCGCTAAATCCAGCCCGCAGCTGGGTTGGCAGCTAGTTCAGAAGTCGAGCAACGGTGCTGATTTCTTCATTTCAGCCCGAGGAGGAGGGTGGGAACCGGCTGCTTTTGTAGCCCAAAGGAACCCTGGAATGCGGCACCTGAGCGTGGGGTGGAAAAATGGACTCTCTTCATATTTGCATTTTAGCACATTTGCGAAAGTGAAGCATCAGGCATTTTGCAGCGTGCTTAACAGCTGGGGAGAGAAACGCTAAGGATTTTCTCCTGTGAAACTAGAGGCACGGTGTAGGACATCTGGGAATTTCAGACTCGGATACAAAATCCGCCCTTTTCAGAAGGAAACCAGGCTCCGTAATTCAGAAAAGTTTGACATTTGGCGGTTGAGGGTGTCACTGTGTGGGTCTGCATGTTCTTGACATTCATGTAGCATTTTCAGCAGTATTTTCAAACGCTTCTCTCATCACAAGGCAGCCTTTTCAGTTAGACCAGCTTCATTTTGGTCCGTTTTCCAGATGGGAAGACCGAGGAGAGGACAAGCATGAATGGCCATTGAGGAAGTTCGTGGTGCAGGATAAATTTGAACCAGGGACCACCTGATCCTTAGCTCTGTTTCTCTGGAGCGGACATCCTATATGCACTTTATATTTTCCCTGGGAGTAAGTCCCATGGAATTTCTTTCTGAGTAGACTCATAAGACTGCCCAGTTTAATGGACCTTTCTGCACTGAACACCCTCAACGTCATTCCTAAAAGGAAAAAAAAAACAGGATAAGTTACTTGCACTTGTAAAGCATTCTGAGGTTTTAAGAATAAGAAAGTGTTACAGGAATATTTTAAATAATAAACGAGTAGAGCATACTCAGGAATGTAAAATGTGTTCCGTAATGTTTAATAAATTGAATAATCCTTCTCAGGACTAGCAGGAGGGAAGGTGAACCCTTTGTAGAGGCAGGCGTGGGGAATTGAAAGGCAAGACTTTAAAGGCAAAGCAGCCCCTCCACATATTTTCCTGGAGGGTATGACTCAGTTTGCTAACTGGCAAAATTAGCATGAAAAGACCGTGCCTTGTAGCATCCCTGGAAAAAATCTTGCAGGCGTGTATGTTGCAACAGTTTGCAAGGCCTGGACCAGGGTTCTCAGCCTTGGGCACTCTAAGAGGGGTGGACTTCAACTCCCAGAATCCCCCAGCCAGCGCACACACACACACACAAACACATCTTAATAGATAATAAATAAAATAAATTTTACGAATTTTATTTCTCGCGGAGAACTCTCCCCAAAGCCACGTTTGTGGGTCCCAAATAAGGGTCCAACGTTTATCCTCTGGGCTTTGTTTTTGAAACGCAAATGTTTTCTCACTCATAGATGCTGGTAGGTATAACTATAATCAACATAAATGTATTTTAACTGTCTCCTAATTTTTTTTAAAATACATTTATGAAGCAACCGAACTAGCATCGGTGAGTGAGGTCCAAGTAGACCCTGAAAGTATATGAAGTGTAATACTGTCTACAGTGACAAAAAAGTGATAATATCTAACATTTAAGGAATTCCAGTTACACGGAGCACGTTTGGCTAGCGGAACATTGGCCCGGAGCCGAACGATCGTGACGCCCAGGACTCCCGGCCATCGCTCCGCCCGTCTGTCGGGGGCTGATGTGGGAACAGGGTTTCTGTTCCAGGTCTTTTCCCGCGCCTGCATCTGAGGGCTCCGACGGCGAGGCGGCTCTCGGACCGGGCGGTTCCCCGACCTCTGTGGAAACTGGGGCGGCTCAACCACGTGGCCATCGCCGTGCCCGACCTGAAGAAAGCCACCGCTCTGTACAGGGACGTGCTGCGAGCCCGAGTGAGCGAGGTCGTCCCCCTCCCAGAGCACGGGGTCTACACGGTCTTTGTGGAGCTGGGAAACACGAAACTGGAGCTTCTTCACCCCCTCGGAGAGAAGAGCCCCATAGCTGGTTTCCTGCAAAAAAACCAGGCCGGAGGAATTCATCACATCTGCCTTGAGGTACTTGGCCCTCTGGATCCATTTCAAACAGAAGGGATCCTTCTGAGCAAAACCCGCTCTCGGAATAGGCACTGGAATTAAGGCGGAGGCGTCGGGGGATCGAGGATCCCGGAAATCGGCTTCCCATTTCTTTAATTTGCGTTTAAGGCAGAGGGGAGGAAAGGTGGGGTGGGGCGTTCCAGATGTCACTGAACTACCGTTCCCAGCCTCCTTCCCCAATAGCCTTGCTCACTGGGAGCTGTGTTTTAGAACATCTGGGGGCCCAGAGGTTTTCCATTCCTGTTCTAAGAAGTCACCCCTCTATTTCTCATGAAGAACTCTTCCCAAAGCAACATTGGTGGAGCCAAAATAAGGCTCAACATTTATCATTGGGGTTTGTTTTTGAAATGCAAACGGTTTCTTAGCCGTTTGCATCAATGGGGCTTTATTTACTCATTTGTTCATTTATTCATGTAGCTGTTTGTTTGTGGAGTCCGTGGGGCTCTCTGAGCTTGGTTCTTTTCTTGCAAACGTTTCATTACCCGGCTAGGTACCATCTTCAGTGCTAAAATGGGATGGGGTTGGCTCTCTATTTATGTGCTGTGGCCTGCCTTGCATCTGTTTAAACACTGCCCAGTTTTCAAGGTTCAGGGCAGTTTACAAGAATCATAAAGCAGAATCTGGTATAAAACCCACCCTCTGCCAACTTCAAGTCCACAATACAGTGCAGCGCAGCCCACAGAGATCAGAACAGGGAAAAAGATCTATAAAACAGCAATCCAGCTTTATCCTTCAATCCATCAGAAGAAATTGCAGAAGCCCACCCAGCTGGATTCGAG